TGGTAAAACACACAGGACTATGGCCCTGGGTTGCACTTCAGGCTTGGGATAAAACTCACTACCAAGGGCTGGCTCTTAAAGTAAATAAGACTTACATGGAGAACAGTCAACCTAGGGTGATGCACCCACCTACTCTACAGAAAGAACATCCCATGGAGCAATCAGCCATGGGGCACAGAGGGGCAACAGTCACATGGAGGAAATGCTGGACAGACAGGAGTCCATAACTAAGAGGGCACAGGGAGGGGGATGGTTACTGGGAAGGGAGAGGAGGAGAGTAGGTTAGGGTTGGGGATGATAATTGGGGAGTGAAACCAAATGTACATGAAATATTGAATGTAAAACAAATTCTGCTCTGTAAATTTGCACCTAAAGCACAATTAAAAACAAAAAAATAAGAGAAATTGAAGTTGGATTCAGAACAGTGGAATCAGAGAGATCATTGCTGATGTCAGATGTATCTTGGCTGAAATCAAAGAATTTCAGAAAGATGTTCACATGTGTTTTGTTGGCTATGCAAAGACATTTGTGTGGATCATAACAAATTATAGACAATATTGTGAAGAATAGGAATTACAGAACACTTAACTGTGCTCATGAGAAACTTGTACATAGACCAAGATTCAGCCATTCGAACTGAACAAGGGGATATTGCATGGTTTAAAATCAGGAAGGGTATGCATCAGAGTTGTATCCTTTCACCATACTTACTCAATCTGCATGCTGATCACATAATCTGAGAAGCTAGACTATATGAATGTCTTGGTTCTCTAGTGTTGCTATAACAGAAATATCCACAAGTGGATGGCTATAAAAAGGGAGAATTTATTCTCTTACAGTTAAAAAACAAAACAAAAAGATCTCAACTGCCATCAAGTCAATTTGACTCATGTGACCCCTCCTTGGGTTTCTGAGGCAGTATAACTATAGATGTAGATTGCCCAACCTTCCTTCCAAGGAGGGGCTGATGGGTTTGAACTGCAAGCCTTCTGGTTAACAGTCAGATGCCTTAGGCACCACACCCACCAGCCACTCCTTGGAAGGAAGACTGGGCAATCTACTTCTGTAGAGATACTGCCTCAGAAATCCAAGGAGTGGTCACTATGAGTTGGGACCGACTTGATAGCAGTGAGTTTTCTTAGAGTTTAGTAGGCTAGAAGTCCAAATTCAGAGTGCCTGCTCTAGGGGTTGGGTGAGGGGCCCTTGACGTTGGGCTTCAGCTCTGTCTCTTATTCCACGCCCACTGGAGCTAGAGGCATCTCCTAACTCAGGCAATTGCTAGCTAGTGAGGCTGACAAACCCAGGGTTGGCAGGTAAAATGGCACAGTCCCAAGATCAGCAGGCAACACAACAGGCCTCTAGTTCAAGTCTAGGAACTAGAGATGAGTACTTACCCAAATGCAGGTTCCAAAAAATCTAGAGATCTTCCACAAAGCTTCCCCATATATACTAGAAGCAGACCACATCCTGAAGGCAACTAATTAGCTATTCACAGCAGGTTCCATCATGGAGTTGATTCCAATTTCATCATAGGAAATAATTGCATCCAGCTGCTGAGCACTCAAAACCATGGCCCAGCCAAGTTGATACACCACCTTAACTATCATAATGAAGAAGAACATGGCATCAGGATTGGAGGAAGATTCACTAACAGCCTGTGATATGCAGATGACGCAGCCTTGCTTGCTGAAAGTAAACATGACTCGAAGCATTTATCAGGCCTAGGACATGATGGACCACAACATTTAAAAAAAAAAAAAAATCCTTACAACTGGACCAGTAAGCAATATCACCATAAATGGAGGAACGACTAAAGTTGTCAGGGATTTCATGTTATTTTGATCCACAATCAACACCCAGGGAACAGCAATCAAGGAATCAGAGGATGTATTACTTTGTGCAAATCTGCTGCAAAAGACCTCTTTAAAGTGTTTAAGAGCGAAATTGTCACTTTGAACATCCAGGTGCATCTGATCCAAGCCATGGTATCTTCATTTGCCTCATATATATGTGAAAGCTGGACAGTGAATAAAGAAGACCACAGAAGAACTGATGCATTTGAATTGTGGTGTTGGTGAAGAATACTGAAAATACCATGGGTTTACAGGAGAATGAAGAAAGTGATCTTAGAACAAGTACAGCTGGAATGTTCTTTAAAATGAGAATGGCAAACTTCTTCTCATATATTTTGGTAATGTTGTCAGAAGTGACTTGTCCCTGGAGAAGGGTATGATACTTGGTAATGTAGAGGATCAGCGAGAAAAGGGAAGACTATTAATGAGATGGATTGACACGGTGGCTGTGATGATGGGTTCAAGTATAGTAAGGACTGTGAGGATGGTGCCAGCTGGGCAGTGTTTCATTCTGTTGTACATAGGGTTGCTATGAGTTGGAGCTGACTGGGCAGCACCTAACAACAACAACAAAGTTAGTTATTACTTACCCATTTGTATTCCATATTCTAAAATGTGGCTGTTGTCTTTTTTCTATTCTCCCTGTCCCCGTAGGATTATAATCTAAAAAATCCATTTGTAGGTTTTATTTTGGAATTTGAAGAGGTGCTAAAATTAGATATATTTACTTTGCGTAACATTTTAATCATCTTTCAACTCCCATGAAATTTCCTAGTGTCAGTTGACCCCCCCCCAAGATATGCCCTATTCCTCTGAAACAATGTAGAGCCCTCTACTCTCTAATACCTCTTACTTCATTGTAAGTTAAGTTTGTGTCTTATCTCACACCACCACATTTTGAGCTCATAGGAGACAGGGGACCACCTCATTCACCTGTATGTCTCCAATGTTCAGTACTGGGAACATTGTATGCACTTAATGTTGGTGAATGAGGAAATTTTTAAAATCTTTCACAAAACCCAATGACAGTCACAAATTACCTGTAATAGAGTACATCAGAGTTATTTCAGCAATTCTTGTTAATAGCATTGTTTATCTTATACTGATTAAAGACGTATGTATTTTTGTCTTTGATTAAGAAAGAATATGAAAATTAATTTTTATATAATACCATTTAGGATATGGGAGCATAAAATAACTGCTTGTAAAAAAAAAGTTAAAATCTTAAACATTAAAGAAAGAGTTTGCTTATTATATGTTCTGTTTGTATGTAGGTCAAATCTGGTTTCTTCCATGAAAGTGATTCCAAAGCTGTTGCCAAGTCCATTAGAGACCGTGTGACCCTGATAAAGAAGATAAGGGAGAAGAAGCCAGCTGGCTGTTCGGAAGAACGCAGGGATTCCCAGTGCAAGTCTGTAGGAAATGTGCTCCCTCAGCACCAGAATACAACTGTACCCTCTGCTTCTGCTCAGCAGATTGGGACTGAATGTGAAGAAACTGAAGTTGATCAACATGTTCGACAACAGCTTTTAAAAAGAACACCACAGCAACACTGCTCCTCTGTTGCAGGTAGCACAGATATAATTTCTAAAACAAACAAATGTGTGATTATATTCCCTTATTTTTAAGTAGTGTTTTCACACTTTAGAAAGTATTCTGTTATCTCTCTTTTTCTCAGTCCTTCTACAGAATCCTTAAAATAAGCCAGGTAGTTTTCTTTATTTTAAAATTAAGAAACTGTCCTGAGTTTTCTAACGTGCTGGTTAAGGGTTCTAATCTGACATCTGGTTTTGTTCAAGGAACAAATAAAATGACATTATTACCTCCTTTTTAAGAGTCTAAAATGGACCATTTAGGAAAGAGCATTTTCAACTAAAGATATAATATTGTTATGTGCTGTCAAGTCGGACCTGACTCATAGTGACCCCTCCTTGGGTTTCTGAGGTGGTATCACCGTGGAAATAGATTGCTCAACCTTCCTCCTGAAGAGTGGCTGGTGAGTTTGAACTGCCAGCTAGCAGTCAAGTGCCTTAGGCACTACGCTACCAGAGCTCCTGTGTAATATATCCTTCTAAAAGGATTTTATAGACTTTTAAGGCCCTTTGTATTTTAGCCTCAAATATAAGTCTAACACAGTTCCTCCAATTTCTCTGCTGTAATGCATTCTCTTCTCCAGAAGGACACAATATTTTCATCGTATAACCAATTAGTCTAAAAAACAGCATTATTTTCAAGGCAGGTTATAGGAGAAAGACTTAATGGAAATCTTAATGGAAAGTTAGTTAGGGATATGAACATGAAATGGTTAGCAAATGTAGTTGATTTTTATATGATTCTTTGTGTTGAGGTTTTCTTTACTTAGAAAATTTCAGTTTTAACCTAGTCTTAGCATTTCATTGTTGATGGAGACTGTGTATGATAGCTTTTGAATAATTCTGTACATATTTCATTTAAAGTCCTCTCAGGTTGTCAGAATAAAAAAACGATTAAAAAACCACTTACAATTACCTATGCCATTTGGACATTGTATTTCATGTTTTCCCTTCTACCTGTTGCTTATTTTCTTTCTCATAGGTGACAGTTTGTCTGAGGCAGGAGCTGGATCTGTTATACATTCAGATACTTCAAGTCAGCTCAATATAGCCTATTCCTCAGACCAGACTATGGGCTCTCAGATGGTTTCTAACATCCTACAGGCTGAAATCAATGTTCTGGGGAAAATGTATCTATCTCCACAGCTAGGAGGAAATTACCAGCAAATTTCAGGGGTAAGGTGGACTGTTATTTTTTAAAATATATAATCAGTGTATATAATGTGAATGGGAGAGGTTATCTGTAATCTTTTTTGTTAGCATCTAAATCTCTCTCTTTTTTTAATTTTTATTGTGATTTCGGTGAAAGTTCACAGAGTAAATTCATTTTCCCTACAGCAGCTCACATAACACTTGGTCTCATGACATTGACTGCAATTTGCCACAATGCAACAGTTCCTTTCCCACTTCCTCCCCATAGTCACCTCTTCCCTCCCATGGACTCCTTCCCCCCAAGCTGACTCCCTGTGCATACACAGCCCTTCTATTCTCCCATGATTGATCTCTCCAAGAAGTGTATCTACCTAATGTAAATGTTCAGCTCATATGCCTGTCTTTTGTTTGGCTAGAGTGTGTTCAATTCCAGACCTGAAGGACAGCTAGGGGCCTTATTCTCAGTGGTTTCATCAGGCTCTATCAGACCAGCAAAGCTGGTCCCATTTTGTGTGTGTGTGTGTGATTTTGAGTTTTGTTCCACATTGTTCTCCCTCTCTGTCTAAGATATCCTACATAGATCCCCCTCTAAGTGGTTGAAGTGGTAACTGGGCACCATCTAGTTCTTCTGGTCTCTTAGTCGTATAGGCTGAGAATTGCATGGTGTACCAGTCTCTTAGACTAATTGTTTCCATGCATCTTTGTTTTTCTTCATTCTTCTTTGCTCTGGATAAGGACTGACATGTTGTTGCATCTAGATGGCGGGTTGCAAGCTTTTAAGATCCCAGTGACCACTCGCCAAAGTAGGATGTGGAACAATGTTTCTGTGTAGTATGTTATGCCAATTGAGCCTTATATCCTCTGAGACTATGGTCCCAAGCACACAGGTCCAACTACTTGCTCCCTCTGGGTAGCTGGCTGTGGCCTAGAAGTGACTACAACCTTGTCCCTTGTCACCTCTGCTATATACCTGGGAATTCTTTATCTATAATGTTTTTGTGTCCTTATTTAACAGTTGCAGAAGCAGCCAAAGCTGAATCAGCCCCAGATTTTGCCTTTGGCTCAAAGTCAGACCACTGTTTTGCCTGTTCATGTACTTGGGCCTCCAGTTGTTTCACAACCACAGGTTTCCCCAGTAACTGTCCAGAAGTTCTCACAGATAAAGGTAAGATGCATTTTAGAAGTTCTGCATTCATTTAAACAAATTTAACACTGTCTAGATTTTCTGACAGCCCTCTCTTTCTTATATCCATCATAGTTTAGATAAAGATCACTGAAAGCTAAAAGCTATTTATGCTTTCTTTAATCTAAGATACTCCTCTTAAGGATGTGCCTAGACATACTGTGTAACTAGAATCTTCTGGTTTTAAATATATGTTATTGAAATATAATTTACATACAGTGAAATACACAAAACTAGAGTGACATGGGTTGATGCATTTTGTGTAACTAGAATCTTGAGACATGGTTTGTATAATTGGAAAGGAACTGGAAAACTAAGTATATGGATAGAAAAGACTATTCAGGACTCTAATCTCTTTATCTTGCTAATGATGATTTGTTTTTTTGTATTGAACTTTGCCAGCCGGATGTGACTGTGGAACAATGTCTGTTGCAGGTAATTAAAAATAGAATATCATGATTTTTAGCAGTTTCACCTAATTTTTTTGGGGGGGCTCATTTTCATTTCTACAGGAGAAATAAGAATAAGCATTTTTGTCTTTCAGACTCTTTAAGTCACTGTTACTCATTTCTTGCAATGAGTAGTCTTTGTGTGAGTTCATATATCAAAACTCTATCTTTGTTCATCTAGGCAATGCAGTCTGGACACATTGTTGGGCTTCACTTTACCATCATCCCTTTTACACTTCCCCTTTACCCCCGCACCATCATGAATATGCCTTCTCTCTCTGGGAATGAGATGGCCTGACTTCCCTCTGTATGTGGATTAGATAGGAA